ATAAATATTATACTGTTTTATTGCTATATTGTTATTTAAATTGTATATTTATGTTTTTCGTTGTGGGCACCACAGGATGCTGGTTTGTTAGCCGCCCTGAGTCCCTCTGCGGAGGTCGAGATAGGACGGGATACAAATGTCCGAGATAAATAAATAAATATGCCTGTATTGCATATTGAAATACAGTCATTAAAAACAAATTGATACAAAAATGGCTTTGTGTGACGCTGTATTATTTTTAAAAAGCTTCTTTGATTTAAAGTGTTATTCTTTGATTTATTTATTTATTTATTGCTGAGAGTCCCAGTTGCGTGAGTTTGGGTTAACTGAGGACCCTTCTACACTGTCATATAAATTTTATTTACCCCTGGGGGGACTTCAAGGAAGTTTGAGTAAAGGTAAATGTTTCCCCTTGCAGCTGGGTATAAATAACTAGCTGTGCCCTGCCACGCGTTGCTGTGGACTATAGTAAAACTTATCAAAGTTGAGGTAGATATCTGGACTATTATGAAAGAGAGGTACCTACCTATTCCTTCCCCCTTTTCCTCCCCCTTTCTCTCCTTTCTTCCTTCTCTACCTCTTTCTTTCTTTCACTACTTGGTTTCATCCTTCTTTCTTTCCTTCATTCCCTCCCCCTTTCTTCCTTTGCCTTTCTTCCCTCCCTGTTTGCTTCCTTCTTTCACTTTTTATTTCCTTTTATTTTACCACCATCATAACAATAACAATAATGCAATGTATTGCCTCTGGGACCTGACACCTCTCCCATTCCTCCAGGGTCTCATAGGAACAATAGCATAATAATAATAATAATAATAATAATAATAATAATAATAATAATAATAATAATAGAAATAACAACCTTTACCCGCCACGTGTTGCTGTGGCCAATCTTCCCTCTTTCTCTCCTTCTTTCCCTCCTTCCTTCCTTCCTTCCCTCCCATCTTTCCTTCTCCTCTTCTTTCTCTATCTCTTTCCTTCCTTCCCCCTTTTTTCTTTTTCGCTGTCTCTTTTCTTCCTTCTCTTCTTTCCTTCCTTTCTTCCCTTCTTCTCTACATCTTCCTCCTTCCTTTGCTCCCTCTTTCCTTCCTTCTTCCTTTCCTTCTCTTTCTAGATTTTGACAGGGCAGGAGGGGGGGTGGGGTTTGGAGGTGGCGTGAAGGTAAAAGGAGGTAAGATTGGGGGGAGTGATGGAGCGTGGGGTTGTGTGTGTGTGTGCGGCGGGGGGTGATGGAGCGTGGGGTTGCGTGTGTGTGTGCGGCGGCGGGGGGAGTGGGGTTGCGTGTGTGCGTGCGGCAGCGGGGGAAGTGATGGAGTGTGGGGTTGCGTGTGTGTGTGCGGCGGCGGGGGGAGTGATGGAGTGTGGGGTTGTGTGTGTATGTGCGGCAGGGGTGTGTGTGTGTGCGGGAAGCGGCGCGGCGGGGCTTGGAGTGGGCATGGTTTCCGCAGAGGGAACGTTGGCCGGAAGGGCATGTGCGCGCGCCAGGGAACTTGCGGCTGGGCGCCAATGCGCATGCTCAGTTGTTTTGCCGTTTTGTGAGTGTGTTGTTGTGTTGTTTTTTATTTAGAGTAGATACGTTTGTACCTTGTGGGTTGTGTTATGGGCATGGGAATTTTGGTTAAGTTTCGTTGGGGTTTTTTTGAGTTTTGTTTTTTGCCGTTTTGTGAGTGTGTTGTTGTGTTGTTTTTCATTTTGAGTAGATATGTTTGTACCTTGTGGGTTGTGTTATGGGCATGGGAATTTTGGTTAAGTTTCGTTGGTTTTTTAGAGTTTTATCCTTTTGCCGTTTTGTGAGTGTGTTGTTGTGTTGTTTTTCATTTTGAGTAGATATGTTTGTACCTTGTGGGTTGTGTTATGGGCATGGGAATTTTGGTTAAGTTTCGTTGGGGGATTTTTGAGTTTTGTTGTTTTGCCGTTTTGAGTGTGTTGTTGTGTTGTTTTTCATTTTGAGTAGATATGTTTGTACCTTGTGGGTTGTGTTATGGGCATGGGAATTTTGGTTAAGTTTTGTTGGGGGGTTTTTGAGTTTTGTTTCCTCGTTGGATTCCCCTAACAAATTTATATATATAGAAGATTATTATTTGAAACACAGGAAGATGAGTCCACAGCAGACATGATCACTCTGCTGGCTGTTGTATTGGCTGTTGTCGGACATTTCCCAAGTGTCTAGGACTGTGTGATGTCTTGGCAAATAATGTGTGCAGATCCCAGTAGGGTGACCTTTTGCAACTGGCAGATGGTATCATCATCATCATCATCATCATCATCATCATTATTATTATTATTTGAAACACAACAAGATGAGTCCACAGCAAACAAGATCACTCTGCTGGCTGTTGTATTGGATCACACGTCGGACACTTCCCAAGTGTCTAGGACTGTGTGATGTATCGGCAAATACTGCGTTTACATCCCAGTAAGGTGGCCTTTTGCAACTGGCAATTTTGTAAGTGCCGATTGTGTTTAAGTGCAGGCCAAGGTCTTGAGGCACTGCACCCAGTGTGCCGATCACCACTGGGACCCCCTTGACCGGCTTGTGCCATAGTCTTTGCAGTTCCATCTTTAAATCCTCATATCGTGTCAGCTTTCCCAGTTGTTTCTCTTCAATCCTGCTGTCTCCTGGGATTGCAACATCAACAATCCATACTTTTTTTTTAACACAATCGTGAGGTCAGGAGTATTGTAATAATTATTATTATAATAATAATTATAACTATCGGTGAAAACACACTTTTTTCGCACATTGTGTCCATCGTTTTCCTCTCTTCTCCTGTCAGTTTCCATCCCACAAATGGTAATAATAATTATAATTCTTATTATTATTACCATTTGTGGGATGGAGACTGGCAGGAGAAGAGAGGAAAATGATAGACACAATGTGCAAAAAAAAGTGTGGTTTCATCGATAATTATAACTTGTGCCTGGAAGCAAAAAATAATAATCTAAAAGCAGATATTCCTTCTGAATGGATTTTCTGTTTTTAGCAATTATTTAAATCAATCCCAAATTCATCTCGGTCCACAGAAACCCGGAGAACCTCTGCTATTTACTTACTTCCTCGGCACAAGTAAACATGTTGGATGCTCTATAAACAGTCATCATTATTGAAAATGTATTGTCAAAGGCTTTCATGGCTGGAATCACTGGGTTGTTGTAGGTTTTTCGAGCTAAATGGCCATGTTCTAGAAGCATTCTCTCCTGACGTTTTGCCTACATCTATGGCAAGCATCCTCTGCTATATTCTTACTTCCTCAGCACAAGTAAACATGTTGGACGCTCTACAAACAGTCATCGTTATTGATAATGTATTGTTGAAGGCTTTCATGGCTGGAATCACTGAGTTGTTGTAGGTTTTTTTGGGCTATATGGCCATGTTCTAGAAGCATTCTCTCCTGACGTTTCGCCTGCATCTTTGGCAAGCATCGGGCTATATGGCCATGTTCTAGAAGCATTCTCTCCTGACGTTTCGCCTGCATCTATGGCAAGAATCCTGAGGATGCTTGCCATAGATGCAGGCGAAACGTCAGGAGAGAATGCTTCTAGAACATGGCCATATAGCCTGAAAAACCTACAACAACCCATTATTGATAATATGAATATCCTGCTTTGTTTCTCCAAAAAGAAGACCCAAAATTCAATATTATATAGCACTTAAAACCTTGGAAACAGGCAAAAAACAAACCCAATTAAAATCTAATTAAAGGTGGGACACTTTGAGCAATATACAAACACGTTTACTTTCTCTTGCCAAGAAAACAATACAAAATGCAACACAATTTACAACATTTTCACTTTCTCTTGCTAATAAAACAACACAAAATGCAATGTATTTTAATATTAGCACTTAAAACCTTGAAAACAGGCAAAAAAACAACCCCTATTAAAATCTAATTAAAGGTGGGACACTTTGAGCAATGCACAAACACGTTTACTTTCTCTTGCCAAGAAAACAATACAAAATGCAACACAATTTACAACATTTTCACTTTCTCTTGCCAATAAAACAACACAAAATGCAATGTATTTTAATATTAGCACTTAAAACCTTGAAAACAGGCAAAAAAACAACCCCTATTAAAATCTAATTAAAGGTGGGACACCCTGAGCAATGTACAAACATGTTTACTTTCTCTTGCCAAGAAAACAATACAAAATGCAACATAATTTACAACATTTTCACTTTCTCTTGCCAATAAGACAACACAAAATGCAATGTATTATAATATATTTCCCAGTACATTTGAACCAAAGGAGTTCCTTGGCACTCCCAGGTGCCCTCTCTACCTGCAACACACCTGTGTGGCTCATAAATATGCAAATTTTATACATAATTAGGAATATAATGATGATATAGAAGTTATAGCACTTAAAACCTTGAAAACAGGCAAAAAACAAACCCTATTAAGATCTAATTAAAGGTGGGACACCCTGAGCAATGCACAAACATGTTTACTTTCTCTTGCCAAGAAAACAATACAGAATGCAACATAAATTACAACATTTTCACTTTCTCTTGCCAATAAAACAACACAAAATGCAATGTATTTTAATATTTTCCCAGTACATTTCAACCAAAGGAGTTCCTTGACATTTCCAGGTGCCCTATCCACCTGCAACACACCTGCATGCCTCATAAATATGCAAATGTTACACATAATTAGGAATATAAGGATGATACAATGTGTTTTAATATTTTCCCAATGCAATTAAACCAAAGGAGTTCCTTAACATTCCCAGGTGAGTATGGCTGCCCTATCTACCTGCAACACACCTGAATGGCTCATAAATATGCAAATGTTACACATAATTAGGAATATAATGATGATACAATGTGTTTTAATATTTTCCCAATGCAATTAAACCAAAGGAGTTCCTTAACATTCCCAGGTGAGTATGGCTACTCTATCTACCTGCAACACACCTGCATGGCTCATAAATATGCAAATTTTATACATAATTAGGAATATAATGATGATAATAAGAGTATTTGTTTTTTTTCTCACCTGCTGGTCACATTCTGGGCAGGACTTGGTGGCCATCTTCACTTTCTTAACCCGACCTCCAGACATGCTGCTTGTCTTTTTGGCAGCTTCCTTTTGACTGGGAGGAAAAAAAAATGCATATATAATGAAGGCAGACAGAGCGCGCGAGACGCCCCGCCCACTTCCAGGAGGGCGAGGAGCCCTCGCGCCACGGGCAGCCAATCAGAACCGCCGCCGCCCCTGCCTCGCGCAGGGGACTGGGGCTCGCGCTCCCGGGGCTGGAGTGCGCACGCGCGCTGCTCCAGCCGCTGCTCCTCCTCCTCCTTCCTTTCCTTCTCCGCCCCAAACCACGCCCCCTTTTCCACAAAAGAAGGAGTTGGGGTTAATAGAGGGCGGGGTTTAGAACGTGACGCAAGCTCTGCTCCGTTTGACGATTGGCTGAATGGATATGATAGACAGCGAAAGGAGGAGGGGAAGGGAGGAAGGGAGGAAGGCGGGGCTTAAATGACGGTTGGAAGGGGGCGGGGACAGTTCCTGAGGGAAAGAACTACAACAACAAAAAGGCGGGAAAGGCAGCAAACCAGAAAGGCTTTGACAGATGGCCATCCAGCCTCTGTTTCAAAGCCTTCACCACACTCTGGGGCAGAGAGTTCCACTGCTGAACAGTTCTCACAGTCAAAAAGTTCTTCCTAATGTTCAGATGGAATCGCCTCTTTTGTACTTTCAAGAGACCTCATGGGCCATCCAGTCCAATCCCATTCTGCCAAGAAGCAGGAAAATTGCATTAAAAGCACCCCTGACAGATGGCCATCCAGCCTCTGTTTCAAAGCTTTCACCACACTCTGGGGCAGAGAGTTCCACTGCTGAACAGCTCTCACAGTCAAGAAGTTCTTCGTCATGTTCAGATGGAATCTCTCTTGTAGTTTGAAGAGACCTCATGGGCCATCCAGTCCAAACCCAAAAAGCGGGAAAATTGCATTCAAAGCACCCCTGACAGATGGCCATCCAGCCTCGGTTTCAAAGCCTCCACCACACTCTGGGGCAGAGAGTTCCACTGTTGAACAGCTCTCACAGTCAGGAAGTTCTTCCTCATGTTCAGATGGAATCTCCTCTCTTGGAGTTTGAAGAGACCTCATGGGCCATCCAGTCCAACCACCACACTCTGGGGCAGAGAGTTCCACTGCTGAACAGCTCTCACAGTCAAGCAGTTCTTCCTAATGTTCAGATGGAATCTCCTCTCATGTACTTTGAAGAGACCTCATGGGCCATCCAGTCCAACCCCATTCTGCCAAGAAGCAGGAATATTGCACTCAAATCACCCCCGACAGATGGCCATCCAGCCTCTGTTTCAAAGCCTCCACCACACTCCAGGGCAGAGAGTTCCACTGCTGAACAGCTCTCACAGTCAAGAAGTTCTTCCTAATGTTCAGATGGAATCTCCTCTCTTGTAGTAACCCCGTTCTGCCAAGAAGCAGGAATATTGCACTCAAAGCACCCCCGACAGGTGGCCATCCAGCCTCTGTTTCAAAGCCTCCAAAGAAGGAGCCTCCACCACACTCCGGGGCAGAGAGTTCCACTGCTGAACAGCTCTCACAATTAGGAAGTTCTTCCTAATGTTCAGATGGAATCTCCTCTCTTGTAGTATGAAGAAACCTCATGGGCCATCCAGTCCAACCCCATTCTGCCAAGAAGCAGGAAAATTGCACTCAAAGCAGCCCCGACAGATGGCCATCCAGATCAGTGCCTCAGACGTTCTGCCAGGCTCCCCAAAAAAAGAAGAATGATAAGGGATTCAAGGCTAAAACGAAACCCATTTCTGTCCGCTTGGGACATGGGGTAATGAGGAGATAAAAGTCCCAAGTACAGGATCTGTAATTAGATGAAGTATCGGGTAATAGTTTGAAAGCTGTGTCCGGAAACTCTGAGCCTTACACTGTTTCCACTTTGCTCCTTCGGGAGCGCTGTTTGCGTAACGCAGAACGGAACACATATATTAGAGAAGGAATGTCAGAATTCTTTAAATTCTTTAAAAAAAAAACCCAAAATCTCACAGCAACCTAAAAAATCCTATATTTACTGGGTTGTTGTAGGTTTTTCTGGCTATATGGCCATGTTCTAGAGGCATTTTCTCCTGACGTTTTGCCTGCATCTATGGCAAGCATCCTCAGAGGTAGTGAGGTCTGTTGGAACTAGGAAAAAAAGGTTTATATATCTGTGGAATGACCAGGGTGGGACAAAGGACTCTTGTCTGCTGGAGCTAGGTGTGAATGTTTCAACTGACCATCTTGATTAGCATTTAATGGTTTGGAAGTGCCTGGGGGAATCTTTTGTTGAGAGGTGATTTGATATGCCTGATTGTTTCCTCTCTGTTGTTTTGCTGTTGTAATTTTTATTTTTTTTAATACTGGTAGCCAGATTTTGTTCATTTTCATGGTTTCTTCCTTTCTGTTGAAATTGTCCACATGCTTGTGGATTTCAATGGCTTCTCTGTGTAGTCTGACATGCTATATTTCATGCTATACATGCTATATACAAATCCTATATTTACTGCTTTTTGAATGCACTACTGTCTTTGAGAGCAAGAGGGCAGCAGGAAAACAGTGAAAGTGGAAAATATTGCTGAATTAGAGAGAAAAGTGATGGTGGAAGAACACTTCCCTTTATGGAAGGCTATTGTGATGACAAAAAAAGCCAGGATGCAACTTATATTTCTTAATATGCAAACTATAATTATCTTACTGACATAATTACCCTCCTGCACACCTCTGACGCCTATTTGGTAAAATTAAATCCTATCTCCAGGATAAACGACTCTCCCTGTTGACATGCAGGATGCAAGCTGCAGCATGCCACCCCAACATTGTTGTGTGTATAAGAAAGAGCATCTTTGTTCTCGCAGCCAAAAACATTCAGTTGAATTTCGCAGACATGAAACGTGTCAATCCTTTATTAAAAATAGGATCCAGACCCTCGGGGTATTTGTTGCAACAGGCCCAGAATGTTGTTGGGTTGTCCTTGTTTCCTTTAAGTTACTTTCTCACTACTATTTGATCAAACTGAAGTTATTCTAATGAAGAATGCACATGTTGTTATCCTCAGGGAAACTGTGAACTGTTTTTTGTATCTTCAGTAACTTTCAGTTTATGGGACAATGTCTTTAATTGAGGTCCCTGCTATGCTGCCATATAAAATCCAGATTATCTGATTTGAACGGGATTACATAGCAATGTAGATTCAGGCCTCTTCTACGCTGCCATATAATCCAGATTATCAAAGTAGGTAAACCAGATTATCTGCTTTGAACTGGATCATTTAAGGCCCCATCTACACTGCCATATAAAATCCAGATTATCTGATTTGAACAGGATTATATAGCAGTGTAGATTCAGGCCTCTTCTACGCTGCCATATAATCCAGATTATCAAAGTAGGTAATTCAGATTATCTGCTTCAAACTGATCATATAAGGCCCCATCTACACTGCCATATAAAATCCAAATTATCTGATTTGAACGGGATAATATAGCAGTGTAGATTCAGGCCTCTTTTACGCTGCCATATAATCCAGATTATCAAAGTAGGTAATCCAGATTATCTGCTTTGAACTGGATCATATGAGGCCCCATCAACACTGCCATATAAAATCCAGATTATCTGATTTGAACGGGATTATATAGCAGTGTAGATTCAGGCCCCTTCTACACTGGCATATAATCCAGATTATCAAAGTAGGTAATCCACATTTTCTGCTTTGAACAGGATCATATGAGGCCCCATCTACACTGCCATATAAAATCCAGATTATCTGATTTGAACGGGATTATATAGCAGTGTAGATTCAGGCCCCTTCTGCACAGGCATATAATCCAGATTATCAAAGTAGGTAATCCACATTATCTGCTTTGAACTGGATCATGAGGCCCCATATAAAATCAAGATTATCCATTTTGAATTGGGTTCTATGGCAGTGCAGTGTAGACTAATATAATTCAGTTCAAAGCAGATAATCTGGATTTTATATGGCAGTGCAAGTGGGGCCTCATATAATCCAAAGCAGGCAATGTGCACCTAACCTTTCCTTCTCCCCTTCTTCTCTACTTATAATTATGTACCACAATGCATTTAAATGGTTTTCCCCAAATATACGCAGATGTCAAAAACAGCCAAATGTTTTGATGAGGCATGATACAAGTCCCAAACTCTTGGAGTAATAGGCATATGCAAGAGGCAAGGGTAGGTTTGGAAAGGTTGCATTTTGCCTCTTTCGTCACTCGTCTGCTTTTTTGTGCAACCATTCAGAAAAATGAATGGTGATTTGCATCAGCATATTTCAAAGGCGTTGGCGACGTCTGCAAAGAGGTTGGTGAAATCAGATATTAATATTAATATTAATGGAGATAAATATAAAGATGACACTGCTGTGCAATAGCCTTATAGCCTTAACTCATAGAGAGCACAGCAAACAAGATTACTATGCTGACTTTTGTATTTGATCACATGTTGGACACTTCCCACGTGTCTAGGACTGTGTGATGTATCGAGGAAGAATGCATGCAGATCTGAATAGGATGACCTTTTGCAGCTGACAAATAGTAATTTTGTCAATGCCTATTGTTTTTAAGTGCAGGCCAGGGTCTTTAGGCACTACACCCAGTGTGCCGATCACCACTGGGACCCCCTTGACTGGCTTGTACCAGAGTCTTTGCAGTTCGATCTTTAAATCCTCATATTGTGTAAGCTTTTCCAGTTGCTTCTTCTCAAGTCTGCTGTCGCCTGGGATTGCAACATTGATGATCCACACTTTGTTTTTTTCCACAATCGTGAGGTCAGAAGTATTGTTCTTCAAAACTGTCTGTCTGAATTTCAAAGTCCCAAAGTAGTTTGATGTATTTTCTGTAACTTTTTCAGGCTTGTGATCCCACCGGTTCTTTGTCACAGGGAGATGGTGACCGATATTGAATATTAACATAAATTCCAATGGATCATCTGAGTAACAGTATTATGCTTCTGCTTATAGTCCATCTGCGTGATCTTCTTGCAGCAGCTGAGGATGTGATCCATTGTTAAGTCTGCTTCTTTGCAGAGTTTACACTTGGAATGTGTAGCTGACTTTTCAGTTCTGGCTTGGATGGCATTTTAAATTTTAATTATTACATTTGGCCCGGCCATAGGTTTTAAATGCTGTATGTTATTGTTATTGTTTATTGCTTATTGTGTACTTTTCTGTTTTTGAGTTTAACTGTTTTGTATTGACTATTCGTTATCGCCTTTGTTTATTGATGTATTGTGGGCTCGGCCTCATGTAAGCCGCACCGAGTCCCTTGGAGAGATGGTAGCGGGGTACAAATAAAGTATTATTATTATTATTATTATTATTATTATTATTATTATTGGTTCGAATGGCTTGTTTTTGTGCTGCCAGAATCAGGCCCTCCTTTGTCTCCTTTTTCAAAGTTCCATTTGTGAGCCACAGCCATGTTTTTTCCTTGTCAATTTGCTCTCAATGTTTCCCAGGAACTGTCCATGGAGAGGCTTCTTTTGCCAGTTTTCTCTTCCGCTCTGCATTGTGTTTTTACGGTATTAACTCTTTGTCTTTTGCACTTTGAGTAGTTTTCTAAGTACTATTGACTTCCTTCAGTGTTGGTTCTTGACTGCCTTTCACATAATTTGCCAGCTTACGTTTCTCTTCTTCTACCGTTTGTTTCACTTGCAGAAGCCCTCTCTCTGCCTCCTGGTTTTCTGGGCAGGTCAAGTCTGTCGACATCACTACACAGGTGTCATGAGTAGTGGATTGTCATCCGTTTTCTTGTTTTTCTGTCCAGATCATCCAGCTCTGCTTGTGTCCAGTTCACAATCCCAGCAGTGTATCTGATGGCCCAGGTGTTGATAGCCTTGATCGTATTTCTGCCATTTAATTTGCTCTTCAAAAATATTCTGACCTTTTGGACATATTCTTTGTTGACCACATTTTTCACCTGCCCATGCTTGATACTGTCCAGCTGTAGTATGCCCAGATATTTGTAGGCTTCAGGCTGATTGCATTTGATGGTTTGCCTGTTTGGCATCTCTATGCCCTCGCTGTGAGTAATTTTCCCTTTCTTTAATGCCACTGTAGCGCATTGTCTAGACCAAATTCCATCCTGATGTCAGTGCTGAAGATTCTGACTGTGTTGGTCAGACTTATTAGGTGAGACTTATAATAATAATTATTATTTTTATTTATTTATTTATACCCCGCTTTATTTCCTTGTTCCTATTATGCCTGACTCCAATCATTTTCAAAGCAACAAATGCAAAAGCAGCATCTACACTTTAGAATTAATGCAGTTTGACACCACCTTAACTGCCATAGCTAAATGCTATGGAATCCTGAGGGTTTATAGTTTTACTAGGGCCCCATCCACACTGCCAATATAAAATGCAGATTATCTTTCCTCCCTCCCCTCCCTCTTTCTCCCTCCATCCCTCTATTCCCTTCCACCCTTTTGTCCTTCCTCCTTTCCCTTTCCTTCCTCTTTCCCTCCCTCCCTCCCATCCATCCATCCTTTTCATCCTTCTCTTTCCTTCCTTTCTTCCCTTTCGTTCTTCCTTCCTTCTCTCTTTCCTTCCTCCTTCCTTTCCTTCCTTCCCTTCCAACCTTCCCTCTTTCCTTCCTCCTTCCATCCTTTGGTCCTTCCATCCTTCTCTTTCCTTCCTCCTTTCCTTCTCTGTTTCCTTCCTCCTTCCCTCCCTCTTTCCCCTTCCTGCTTCCCTTCCACCCTTTCATCCTTCCTTTCTTCCCTCTATCCATTTCTCCTTCCTTCTTTCCTTCCCTTTTGTCTTCCTTTCCGCCCTCCTCTCCCTCCCTCCCTACATTCCCTTCCACCCTTTTGTCCTTCCTTCCCTCTTTCCTTCCTCTTTCCCTTCCTTCCATCCATCCTTCCCTTCCATCCTTCTCTCTTTCCTTACCCTCCTCCCCCTTCTCTTCCTTTTCTTCCTTCCTTCTCTCTTTCCTCCTCCTTCCCTTCCTTTCCCTTCCCCTTCCCCCTTTCTCTTCCTTCCTTCTCTCTTTCCTTCTCCTTCTCTCTCTTTCCCCCTCTTTCTCTTCCTTCCCTTCCACCCTTATCCTTCCTTCCTTCCCTTTTCCTCCTTCTCTCTCTCCTCTTTCTCCTTCCCTTCCCTTCTCCTTTTCTTCTTCCTTCTCTCTTTCCTTCCTCCTTACCTCCTTCTTCCCTTCCATCCTTCTCTCTTTCCTTCCCTTCCTTTTTTCCCTTCCACCCTTCTTCTCTCTTTTCTTCCTTCTCTCTTTCCTTCATCCTTACCTCTCTCTCTAAACTCAACAGTTTCTTGGAATGGATAGACACCATGTTACCAAAACACTCTTAATGACTTAAGAAAAACAAAGTGTTCTCTTTCAAGTCTCGAATACAAACTGATATTGAATATAAACATAAATTTAATTATAATGGGATTAAGTAATAATGTGTCCTCTCAAGAGACTTGAAATGCTTATTTAACAGCGTCCTGTTGTCACAAGGAAGCATGTCCAAGCTTTGACTCGTCTCTTTGTCAAAGCTTTGTATGGACAGCTGTCACTCGCAGTCCACCAAAGAACAGCATCGCTGTCCCCATTTGCTTGTTTGCCGTCACAACACACATTTCCACATCACTGGAACAAAGAGATGGTACAGTTATTTTCCACGTCCCCCAAAAACCATGATCCCGATCAGTGGAAAAGCACTGGTGTTGAATAGATCTCGTTCATTGTGTTTCCTTATCAATGGTGGGAGCCTGAATCAAGTCATAAATGATATTTTTGAACAACTACCTTGCTTTGTTCAACCTTAGGTCTAGATTATGCTATTTGATGGAAATCCCCACTGAACACAAAACACAGCCGCAAGCTTCAAACCAGACATTTCACTTGTTGGCTGGGGCTGAAGCAACATGACAGTTCTACCTTGGGCTGTGCAGACTGTAGAATTAATGCAGTTTGACACCGCTTTAATTGCCATGGCTGCTGGGAGTCGTAGTTTGGGGAGGCCCCAGCATGAAAAGACTGAAGACCTTGTGAAACTGCAACTCCCACGGCCCCATAGCATTAAGCCATGGCAGTTAAGGTGGAATCAAACTGCGTTAACTCTAAAGTGTGGTGGCATTTGCTTGAGCTCATTCCTCAGCTTCTTTTTAATAAGATGATTGAGCATCGTTTTGTCAATGCAGCAACTGAGGCCCCATCTACACTGCCAAATAATGCAGGTTGAAGCAGCATTATGTGGGCAACACAGTGTAAAAAAATATGGTATTAGATTCATGTCATACAGTCATCTTAGTGCTTAGCCAAAGAAAGGGAGAAGTTGTTTTTTTCCCTTTCACCCTTTCATTTAATAGCCCAACTCAAGGAATGTGATCCTGGGATTTGTAGTTTGCACAATAGATTTGATGGCACAATAAATTCCACGAAATACAGGGAAGGAGAAGAGGAGGAAGGGGAGGAAGAAGAGAAAGAACAACCTGTTGTTTTCCATTTCCTTCCCCCCAACAATTTTAGACTAATTTTAGAGATTTTAAATGATATTTTAAGGATTTAATATGTTAGTAATTATGTGGACTTATTTTACGTCTTCTTCATTTATGTTGATTTATAATTTACTGAGTTGTTCCTGATTTGTTTATTGGTTTCTTTATGTATTGCTGTCGGTATTGAATGTTTGCCATTGTATAAATTTTGTTGTGAGCCACCCCGAGTCCCTTCAAGGAGATTAAGTTTCATTCATGAATGATAAAGTTTCATTCATTCATTCATTCAAGAAGAAGAGGAGGAATAAGAGGAGAAGGAAGAAGAATAAGTGGATGAAGAGGAGGAGGAGGAAGAGGAGGAGGAGGAAGGGAAGGAAGAACAGGAAGGAGAAAGAAGAAAAGGAGGAGGAAAAGGAAGAAGGAGAAAGAAGAAAGGAGGAGAAAGAAGAGGAGAAGAAGTAAGGAAAAAGAAGAAAAGGAGGAGGAAGAATAGGAAGAAGAAGAGTAAGAGGAAGAAGAAAAAGAGGAGGAGGAAGAACAGGAGGAAGAAGAGGAGGAGGAAGAGGAGAAGGAAGAAAACAAAGGAGAAAAGAAAAGGAGGAGGAGGAAGAAGAAGAGGAGGAGGAAGGACAGGAAGAAGAAGAAAGGAGGAGGAGGAAGAGGAGAAGAACGAACAATATTAAGTGGATGAAGAAAAGGAAGAAAAGGAGGAGGAAGACACGGAAGAACAGGAAGGAGAAAGAAGAAAAGGAGGAGAAAGAAGAAGAGGAAGAACAGGAAGAAGAAAGAAGAAGAAAACGAGGAGGAAGAAGAGGAGAAGAAGGAAGAATATTAAGTGGATGAAGAAGAGGAAGTAGAAGAGGAGGAAGAAGAGGAGGAGGAAGAAGCGGAGAAGGAAAAGGGAGAAAGAAGAAAGGAGGAGGAGAAAGAAGAAAAGAAGGAAGAAAAAAGAATAAAGGAAGGATGAATAATAGGAAGAAGAAGAGGAGGAAGATGAGGGAGAACAGGAAGAGAGGAGGAGGAGGAGGAGGAGGAGAGAAGAAGAAGAAAGAAAAAGTGGATGAAGAAGAGGAGGAGGAAGAGGAGGAGGAAGAAGAAGAAGAGGAAGAATGAGAAATAGGAAGAATAGGAAGAAGGAGAAGAGGAGGAAGAATGAGGAAGAGGAAGAAAAGGAGGAAGAGGTGGAAGGAGGAAGGGGAAGAAAAGGAGGAAGACGAAGAAGGGAGGAGGAAGAAGAGGGAAGAAGAAGAGGAGGAGGAAGAATGAGAAAGAGAAAGAACGGGAAGAAGGAGAAGAGGAGGAAGAATGAGAAAGAGGAGGAGGAAGAAAAGGAGGAAGAGGTGGAGGAGGAAGACGAAGAAGGGAATAGGAAGAAGCGGGAGAAAGAAGAAAAAGAGGAGGAAGAATGAGAAAGAGGAAGAATTGGAAGATGAGGGAAGAAGAAGAGGTGGAAGAATGAGAAAGAGGAAGAAAAGGAGAAGAGGAGGAAGAACGAGAAAGAGGAGGAGGAAGAAAAGGAGAAGGAAGAAGAAGAGAAGAAGGAAGGAAAAGGAATAAAAGAAGGAGGATGAAGAATAGGAAAAAGAAGAGGAAGAAGAAAAAGAGGAAAAGTGGAGGAGGGAGAACAGGAAGAAGAAGAAAAAAGGAGGAGGAAGAGAAGAAGGGAGAAAAGGAGGAAGAAAAGGAGGAAGAGGTGGAGGAGGAAGACGAACAAGGGGAGGAGGAAGTAGAGGGAGAAATAAGAAAAGGAGGAGGAAGAATGAAAGAGGAAGAATAGGAAAAAGGAGGAAGAAGAAGAGGAGGAAGAACGAGAAAGAGAAGGAGGAAGACGAAGAAAGGGAGGAGGAAGAGGGAGAAAGAAGAAAATGAGGAGGAGGAAGAATAGGAGGAAGAGGAGGAGGAGGAGGAGGAAGAAGAGGGGGATAAGGGAGAGAAGGAGGAAGAAGAGGAATCTCCCTTCTAAAAGCCAAACCCAGTAGCTGCCAGTTCCCGACCCCCGAAGGCACTACCACCCCACTTTCTCCCTCCCAGTCTGGGCGGAGGGGATTGTGGGCGGGGTAGTCCTCCCTCCTGCTGCCAGGGAGGGAGGGAGGGAGGGGCGGAGGAGAAGAAGGAGGGACCACAATCCCCATCAGGCAGCGCGGCCGTGTGCTTGCGGCTGGTGCAATCGCCGGGCTGCATAAAGCCGGAGCCGGGCTGGGAGCGAGCGGAGTGAGTGAGTGAGTGAGTGGTGCCTTCTCTGCCGGCGTGCCTCCGTCTGCCGGGATGAGCGGCGGCGCCGGAGTGGGAGGCTGCCGGGTGGCCATGCTGGGGAGGCGAGCGGGGTGGCGGGGGGTGTCCTCGCTGCTGGAGGCGGCCGGGGGGAAAGGGGAGCCGGGGGTCCGGGCGGGGAGGCCCCCGTGGCGGCGGTGGAAGAGCGCCAAAGCCCAGGCCTCGCCCGTGAAGGTGGAGAAGCAGCATCAGAGCCGGGAGAAGATCCTCACCTTGGAGTCCATGAACCCGCAGGTGAAGGCGGTGGAGTACGCCGTCCGCGGGCCCATCGTCCTCAAGGCCGGAGAGATCGAGAACGAGCTCCGGAAGGTAAGACTCTCCCCCCCCCCCTCTCTCTCCATCCTTCTCACCTTTCTGTCCCTTCTGCGCCCACACTGGAGAATTAACCCGGTTTTGCACACCTGATGCTGTCCAATCTTAGGAGTCGTCGCTCGCCAAGGGAAGAAGCTTTCCATCTATGGCGTGGACCCGCTTTGAGAACGTGGGAGGTGTAGTTTTGCAAAGATCTTGCCAAAGAGGCAAACTACAGCTCCCAGGATCAGTTCGAGTGGTCTCAAAACTGCAAACACCCCCCAGACCATGCACCTTTCAACCACCTTTGGCATAGTCCTATTGGAGAATGGGATATATAATTCTGAATGGGATATATAGTTCTGCAAGTTCTGCAATATATAGTTCTGCCGGTCCGAACTGCAACTCCCAGGATCCCATAGCAGTGAGCCAGTGCAGTTCGAGCGGTGCAGTCATCCTACAAACAATACACCTTTTAACCACCTTTCATCCAGTCCTATTGGAGAATGGGATATATAGTTCTGCAAGGTCTTTAGCCTTTCCAAACTGCAACTCCCAGGATCCCATACCAGTGAGCCAATGCAGTTTGAGCGGTGCAGTCATCCTACAAACAATGCACCTTTTGACCACCTTTCATGCAGTCCTATTGGAGAATGGGATGTGTAGTTTTGCAAGGTCTTTAGCCTTGCAAAACTACTGTACTCCCAGGATCCCATAGCAATAAACCATAGCAGCTCAAGTGGTATCAAACCACGATCATCCTGCAGACCACGCACCTTCTAACCACCTTTGGCACAGTTCTAGCAGGGAATGGGATGTATAGTTCTGCAAGGTCTTTAGCCTGTCCGAACTGCAACTCCCAGGATCCCATAGCAATGAGCCAATGCAGTTCGAGCGGTGCAGTCATCCTACAAACAATCCACCTTTTAAGCACCTTTCATGCTGTCCTATTGGAGGATGGGATATGTAGTTTTGCAAGGTCTTTAAGCCTTTCCAAACTGCAACTCCCAGGATCCCATAGCAGTGAGCCATGGCAGTTCGAGTGGTGTCAAACTGCAGTCATCCTATAGACCATGCACCTTTTAACCACCTTTGGCGCAATGCTATGGGAGAATGGGATATGTAGTTTCTCAAGGTCTTTAGCCTTTCCAAACGGCAGCTCCCAGGATCCCATAGCAGTTCAAGTGGTGTCAAACTGTAGACATATCCTGAAAGTAATGTTACATATATACACATATATATTAAACTAGATGGCCTTAAGTATTTTCTGTTGGTCATGGAGGATGAGTGTGGGAATCTTGCCCCAATTCTGTAGTCCGTGGGGTTCAGAATGCTCTTTGATTGTAGGTGAACTATAAATCCCGGTAAGTACAACTCCCAAATGTCCAGATCTATTTTCCCCCAACCCCATCTGTGTTCATACTTGGGCATATGAAATATTTCTGCCAAGTTTGGTCCAGATCCATCATTGAGTCCTCAGTGCTCCCTGAATGTAGGTGAACTACAACTCCCAAACTCAAGGTCAATGCTCACCAAACCCTTGTAGTGTTTTCTGTTGGCCATGGGAGTTCTGTTGTGCCACATTGGGTTCAATTCCATCTTTGGTGGTGTTCAGAATGCTCTGTGATTGTAGGTGAACTATAAATCCCAGCAACTGCAACTCCCAAATGTCAAGATTCTTTCCCCCCCAAACTCCACCAGTGTTCACATTTGGGCATATTGAGTATTTCTGTAGAGTTTGGTCCAGATCCATCATTGTTTGAGTCCACAGTGCTCTCTGGATGTAGGTGAACTACAACTCCAAAACTAAAGGTCACTGCCCACCAAACCCTTCCAGTATTTTCTGTTGGTCATGGGAGAACTGTGTGCCAAGTTTGGTTCAATTTCATCGGTGGTGTTCAGAATGCTCTGTGATTGTAGGTGAACTATAAATCCCAGCAACTACAACTCCCAAATGTCAAGATTTTATTTTCTCCAAACTCCACCAGTGTTCACATTTGGGCATATTGAGTATTTCTGTAGAGTTTGGTCCAGATCCATCATTGAGTCCGCAGTGCTCTCTGGATGTAGGTGAACTACAACTCCCAAACTCAATGTCAATGCCCACCAAACTCTTGTAGTGTTTTCTGTTGATCATGGGAGTTCTGTGTCCCAAGATTGGTTCAATTCCATCATTGGTGGGGTTCAGAATGCTCTTTGAGTGTAGGTGAACTATAAATCCCAGCAACTACAACTCCCAAATGTCAAGATTATATTTTTTCCAAACTCCACCAGTGTTCACTTTTGGGCATATTGAGTATTTGTGTAGAGTTTGGTCCAGATCCTCATTGTTGAGTCCACAGTGCTCTCTGGATATAGGTGAACTACAACTCCAAAACTCAATGTCAATACCCACCAAACCCTTCCAGCATTTTTTGTTGTTCATGGGAGTTCTGTGTCCCAAGATTGGTTCAATTCCATCATTGGTGGATTTCAGAATGCTCTTTGATTGTAGGTGAACTATAAATCCCAGCAACTACAACTCCTAAATGTCAAGATTCTTTTTTCCCCAAACTCCACCAATGTTCATTTGGGCATATTGAGTATTCCTGTAGAGTTTGGTCCAGATCCATCATTGGTGAACTATAAATCCCAGCAACTACAACTCCCAAATGACAAAATCAATTTTTTTTGAGTGCAGGACATACATTGGGTTGTTAGTTGTATGGTGTGCAAATTTGGTGTCAATACGTCCAGTGGTTTTTGAGTTATGTCAGTCCCACAAACGAACATTACATTTTTGTTTATATAGATCGATGTGCATGGCATGATGTTGGTGCCCATTGGAGAACACAGGGACATCAATATCTAAAGCCTACACAGAAATTATATATTTTGACAAGGGCCATCTCTGCCAAACAGTGAGGGTTCCTCAACAAACTACACACTCCTGGAAAGCCATAGCATTGTGACACTGCAGTTAGCGTAGAATATGCACCAAGGGTGGAGCATTGGGGGTTTGTCCTGTTCTCCTCCCGGCTTTTCGAAAGCAGCAGCTGTGTGTCCGGTTGGGCCGCCCTCTGAGCCGCTCCTCCGCCTGGGAGGCTCGCGATTGGAGCAGCCGGAGGGCTTGGCCCTGGCAAGCCAAGGAGGCCGGCGAGAGGCTGCCTTCGGTGCCAAACCTCCTTCCCGGGCAGCCTTGCCTTCTCCAAACAAAGCTTTCGCTAGGCCAGCTTTTCCGCTCTCACTTTGACCAAGTGATAATTGTGTTTAATGTATTGTCGAAGGCTTTCATGGCCGGAATCACCGGATTGTTGTAGGTTTTTTCCGGGCTATATGGCCATGGTCTAGAGGCATTCTCTCCTGACGTTTCGCCTGAATCTATGGCAAGCATCCTCAGAGGTGGTGAGGTCTGTTGGAACTAGAAAAAAGGGTTTATATATCTGTGGAATGACCAGGGTGGGACAAAGGACTCTTGTCTGCTGGAGCTAGGTGCCCCCGGTGGCACAGTGGGTTAAACCCCTGTGCCGGCAGGACTGAAGACCAACAGGTCGCAGGTTCGAATCCGGGGAGAGGCGGATGAGCTCCCTCTATCAGCTCCAGCTCCTCATGCGGGGACATGAGAGAAGCCTCCCACAAGGATGATAAAAACATCAAATCATCCAGGCGTCCCCTGGGCAACGTCCTTGCAGACGGCCAATTCTCTCACACCAGGAGCGACTTGCAATCACTCCTGACACGACCAAAAGTTGTGAATGTTTCAACTGACCACCTTGATTAGCATATAATGGCCTGACAGTACCTGGAACAAACTTTTGTTGAGAGGTGATTAGATGTCCCAGATTGTTTCCTCTCTGTTGTGCTCTTGTAATTTTAGATTTTTTTAATACTGGTAGCCAGATTTTGTTCATTTTCATGGTTTCCTCCTTTTCAACAGAAAGGAGGAAACCATGAAGATGAACAAAATCTGGCTACCAGTATTAAAAAACTCTAAAATTAAAACAGCAAAACAGCAGAGGGAAAACAGTCAGGGACATCTAATCACCTCTCAACAAAAGATTGCTCCAGGCACTGCCAGGCTATCAAATGCTAATTAAGATGGTCAGTTGAAACATTCACACCTAGCTCCAGCAGACAAAAGTTCCTTGTCCCACCCTGGTCTTTCCACAGATATATAAACCCTTTTTCCTAGTTCCAACAGACCTCACTACTTCTGAGGATGCTTGCCATAGATGCAGGCGAAATGTCAGGAGAAAATGCCTCTAGACCATGTAGCCCGGAGAGAATGCCTCTAGAGCATGGCCATATAGCCCAGAAAAAACCTACAACAACCCAGTATTTCTTGCTGTTTGTCATTGTTGATGTGGAGAGTGTCTGGTTTGCCCACTCTGGAACATGCAACATATAATTGTCCTTCTATAATAATAATAATAATAATAATAATAATAATAATAATAATAATAATACTTTATTTATACCCAGCTGCCATCTCCCCAAGGGACTCGGTGCGGCTTACATGAGGCCGAGCCCAAAGTACATCAACAGTAAAAGCAATAAGAAAAGAATCAATACAACAGTTAAAACAAATCTCATAAACGAAAGTAAACAAACAGTAACAATAACAACAAGCATTTAAAACCTATGGCTGGGCCAAATGCAATAATTTAAAATTTAAAAAATAATGCTGGACATGGACAAGGTAGGATATAACTGGGATAGAGTTTTCAGGTAGAGATGGGGGGTCCCTTTCAAATCTATGATACTATATTTGTGCGTGTGTGAATCATATCTATATCTATGGCTGGATGGCTCTCTATCAGGAGGGCTTTGATTACGTTTTCTTACCCTGATGAAGAGAGTTGGACTGGATGGCCTTAAGTATTTTCTGTTGGTCATGGGGGTTCTGTGTGGGAAGTTTGGCCCAATTCTATCGTTGGTGGGGTTCAGAATCCTCTGTGATTATAGGTGAACTATAAATCCCAGCAACTACAACTCTCAATTGTCAAGATTCTATTTTCCCCAAACTCCACCAGTGTTCA